CTCTTTGTGTGCGTGTTTCTTCACTTTACCCTACCCTCAATCTCTGTCTTGTTGTTTTTTAAGCTATTTTAGAGTTCTTAGTAACACTTTACAACAAATGCTCACACTTGTTTGGTCGGGGATACAACCTAGTGTCAAAAACATCCTTTTGGCTTGTAGAGGTTTCAAGCTTCTACCCAGCATGTCCCATACCCTAAAGGTTCCTTCTCTCTAGTTCTGTCCCCTTTAGGGTCGTCATAGCTGCTCCTTTAATGTCTCCAATCACAATTGCTATGAAACTAGGGATTGCATCGGGTCCCTCTTCTATAACGGCATTAGTGGCACCCCTTCGGCTACTTTCACAGAGTTTTTTCTTGGCAAGTCTTACGCCATCATCCTTGTTGACGACTACAACCTCTCACCTCCATCACCACAAACAAGGCATTTGGGGCATGTTGTGATGTCAAGTGCGTTACGAGCAACCTCAATTTGATATGTCCAACAAGAGAGTGGTAGTGGCTTGTAAGAGTGCTTGCTCTGCCTTCACACCTTGCCGACGTCAAATTGCATGATGTTCAAGACGTCATGCCCTCAAGCTGGCTCTTTAGCATGTGATGACCATGAGAGATAAAATGAGGCCCGTAAGAAATTTATAAACTTAATGTCTGGTACTAGAAACTTCAATTTAATTACTTGAGAGACAAAAATGTTATGTAAAATATTTTAGGGTAGTGGGTGTTCTTTCATAAAAACTTTAAGGATAAAAATATATCTTTACCCTTCAAATTATGTGTATCTTCTTTGTAGTTTTGAAATACAACTTGGGAAAACACAATCTTTAATCTTTATAGTTTTATTGGGTTTTAATTTTAGTCTTTATATTTTTTTTTCATTGTTTTCAATCTCTATAGTTTTAGAAAGATTAAGTGACCTTTATTTTCTAAATCCTTATAGTTTCATTTTTTTCAGTGGTTTTAATCCTTATAAAGACTGAAAATATTAGAAAAAAAATTATAGAAACTAAAAACAAAACTTGATAAAATTATAAGATCAAATATTATATTTTCTCATATAACTTCCATATTTTTATGCTGCAGCTCAATTAGCATATAATTTACAGGGAAAATTTTAAATAAGGACCAGGGATATGACATAGTTACTAGTGGGTCCTAAAAAATCAGAAATTTCTGTTCATTCCAGGGAGATAGAAGTGAAAATAAGTTCAAATATAAAAAAATCAAAGTACCCTTTATTTGTTATGCAAAATCACTATTTGTTATTTTTTTGCTTCACTTGTTAATTTATCAATATGAGTTGTAAATTATATGTGTTGACATATCAATAATTATATAAGAATTGACATTAATTGTTCAATCATAAGTAGTAATATCAGTTGTTAAGTTACTAACTTTACTTGTTAATTTACTAATATTGATCATAAATTATTGATAGGTCTCACAATTTACTAGCACCACCTATTTTGTAATTTATAAATGATATTAATAAATTAATAAGTAAAGTTAATAATTTAATAACTAATATTACTGCTTGTCTAAAAAAATATAAGTAATTTACAAGTACTATTGGTAAATTAATAAATAAAGTAAAAAAAATTAACAAATAGTAATTTTGCATAATAAGTTAAGGGTTCTCTAATTTTTTTATAATTAAAATTATTTTTAATTTTATCTTTTTAGAATGAACTAAAATTTTAAAATTTTTTAAAATTCACTAATAATTATGTCCCATTGCTGACAGTTATTTAAAATTATTTCAAATTTATATCCTGAACCCAACAAAAAAAAAAAGGAAAAATCATCTCAATTTAGAGTCAATTGTCTATGTTCGTTGATTTAAACTACAACTAAATGTCATGTCAGGCATCAGAGTAAGTGGGGAAAAAGAAAAATAATGGGAGCAAAAAAAAAAAGTTTCTGTCATTTAATTTTCTTAGATATTGAAAAATTTTATTCTTTTCTTAAAAAAATCTGATTCAAATATCTCTCATTGATATATCTTCTGAAATTTAACTTTTTACTATATTTAATATTTTTTCGAAAGCAATTCACATAAGCCTCATCAATCAGCGGACGTTATACCTAGACATAAATATCTGACCGTAACATGCAAATATGAAGACTGCGATTTGGAAGGAGGGTCAAGTGATGGTGCACGTGCGTAGGCCTCTGGGCTCTTAATTAGTTTAAGCAAAACAATCTGCGCACGTGATTGTCACCAAATATTATATTATTATATATATATATAATGAATAAAAATTGCTAGGACAAAGAAATGAAAGATGGTTCTAGGAAGGGTCATGGTAAGATTAGATTAATATGAATAAAAATAATATACTTACTTTATTTAAAAATATAAAATATTTTTAATTAAATCTCACCTCCTAATAAAATTTTTATCTATTTTTAAAATAATCATATTTTTTTATATTTATCCCTATTAACTACCTTATAATAAATATAAAATTACCATCAATAGAAATATTTTTAAAAAATAATAAATAATTATACTTTAAAAAATTAAAAATATTTTATATTTTTTAACAAAAGAAATATATAATATAAATATAAATATATGTAAATCCCGTCTTTGCTGACTCAAACGCCAACAAGGGCTCAAAAAAAAAAAAAAAAAAAAAAAAACTCAAACAACAACGAAAAGTCAGCAGTCTCTAACTCTAAAGTCAGAAAACACCTACTTTTGAAAACGTTGACCCCTTCTTCCACGCTTCCTCATAATCAATTTATTTTTATTCATAAAAAAAAAAAGACTTATATCACACAATTTAAAAAAAATCAATTATATTAATTATATTTAAAAATAAATAATATATTATAATATTTTTATTAATTATGTTAATCAAAACTTTATTAATTGATTACTATAAATAATAAAATTATGAAAGATAATTTAAAAAATTTGTAATAAATACTGATTAAAAATATAATATTTTTATATAAAAATAAATTAAAAGTGATAGTTTTTTTTATAAAAAAATTGAGAGAGTATATATGTATATATATTCCTATTATATATAAGTGGTAGATTTATGGAAAAAATTAATTTGTGGGGTGAAATTTAAACATGATATGTATATTAAATTAACACAGACAATAAAATTTATTGACACCAGAAACTAAGTTATATCATTATAATAACAAAATAAAATAAAATCTCAATATGAGTAACATTTATATTAAAGGTCATGTGATAAGTGGTGGTGAAATTCTTAATAGAAATAAATGCAATTTTTCATGTGGGTGGGGTCAGGGGTTATGAACCCCAACGGCCAACGGTTCTATGCTTTGCTGTTGACTCTCTTGGTCATTAAAAGTCTCAAGATGAATTATATATGAGAGTAAACAAAGTTTACCTATCACAGATTTCCATTGCAGAAATTTATGTGTCTACAGTATTTTCATACTCTCCATCTCAGTTTAGAAGATAATTTTAAAGTCAGTTTGATGATACAAAATACAAGAGAATTTGATAAAAACAAAATTTCATTAAATATATTTTTTCAATATTATCCTTCCTTTCTTATTATATTTTTTCTTTATTTAATGTTTCACAAATAAGGTTATATTAAATTAAGAATATTTTTAAAAATTTATATTTTGATTTTAAAAAAATTAGACTGTAAATATAATTTAATGAGCTTTATTAATATGTGTACTTTTATTTAAAAATATCTTATAATCTTGATAAGAGGGAGTAATATATAATCCTCGATAGTCAATAGAATAGTTGAGGATTGTTATTTTATTGTTCAATTAATTATTATCATTGACGAAACATTATATTATGAAAAACGAATCACTTAATAATTTGCATATTTGTACGATGCAGGGAAAATTATTGCGCTAGTTTCGAATAAAAATTATACTAAATTTAATTACATATATTCGTTTTTCAAAATCCGCTCCAATATAGTCAAATGAATCTTTGAATTTAACTATTTCTGGCAGAACCCCGAGTGAACAAGGGAGGTGAACTCGTATAAATTAATCCAATCAGTTGGACCCACCTTAAGTTTATATATCCTTGATTAATTTTTTTAACTATTAGACGTGAGATTCTTTTTTTTTTTTTTTTGGTGGTATAGGCTCTAATATCCCTCACGTCATGTTCTGTCATGTAAACGGACTACCAAGGAGGTTGGGATCTGAAGCTTGAGGAACCGACATGGAGAGTAACGTGTTACATTGTTATGCGATGGTTTAATACTACGAGTGGTTTGGTTTGGTTTAAATATCTCGTAGCTTCATGCATCTTCCTAAGACTCAAACTTTGAGTGGTAACTAGGCACGCGCTGTATCTTGACCAGTAAGTTGGTCTCCATCTACACATATATAAAGACCGCGCCGTCTTAATTTCTTGTTCTTTTAATTTCATATCCTCACAGTTGATAATCATGAAACAAATCTTTCAAAAAATTTGAATGCTATTTAAAAGATTGGCAACCCTATCTGCTCTTGCTGTGGCATCATGCTACATGTACAATTTTTTTTTTTAAAAAAAAGATGAAACCTAAAATTTAAAGAAAACATAATTTCAAATTTTGACACTTTATTTAAGTTCTGTTATAGGTCCCTACATTTTTGTGTTATAGAAACCTAAGGTGCAGACAGAAAAAAATTTAAGGGGCAAGAACATAAGGAAAAAGAAGTGCAAAAGCCTGTGACTAAACTTAAAAATGTGAAGACCTAAAATTTTGTTTTCTGTGAGATTTATCAGGATTCACTGCGTAGCAAGTACCTTCAATTAATATGTCAATAATACATAGCGCTTAAAAATTGAGAGTGAAGGGGCCGAATTCGTCGAGGGTGATAGAAGTGAAAGCATCAATCCAGCGCATTAAGAAATGAGGAGTTGACTGGAAAATAAACGTCAAAACCTCAAATTGCCCTCAATTAATGCACCAGCTAAATGAACCAGATAGCAAAAGTAATGAACAACTGACAAGGACGTCTTGCCACCCGGTCGAGACAAAATATCGAGGATGAAGTTGAATCGAAGACCCAACAAGAAAAAAATGTGTGTCTATATACATAACCAGGATGATTTGCCAAAGCCCGCCTTTAAAGCAAGAAAGAATCCACCTGGACATTTCGAATGAATCAAGACTACATACATGGTTAATCATAATCTAATAAATTACAACACAAACAGATCCTCAGGATCCTCAATCTACATATAAAGTATCTATAACGAGACACTATTACCAAGATGTGTCTCATCGTCTATGAGATGTTTCCACAAAACTTGCTATCCTTTTGCTTGAGAACAAAAACCCCCACATTCGAAACCTGCTCCTTGGACACAAATGAGAAATGTAGCGATGCCCTTCCTTCATAGCCCCACACATTTCACCCACCTTGAAAACTCTCGGCCAACTCTAAAGGGCAACTCATAGTCTTTCATGACGGCAGGCTCCCTTCTAGCAGCCTCGGCTTCCGACCACACATAGACCCCGCGTTCCTGCTTACTGCCAGGCACGTATTGTCCAGGACAACAGCTACAACAAATGCTACCACCATGTGTAATGCAAAGAGTGTATTCAGGACATAATTGAACTGTACAAGAGAAATATTAACCCGAGTGTTATTCTAGAAAGTTCTCGCATGTTAAAGCAGCACAGCACAAGAGTTTCTTCTGCAAGAAGGATTTAAGGAGTGAGGCAAGTTTTTCGTTGGCAAAATGACATGGGACCAGCATGCATATGCAGACAGAAACTTACTCAGAAAGCTATTGATTTTCAAAGAAAACATATCCAATTTACACATATCACCCCCATTGAATATGAGGTTGGTTCCTGCTTTCAAAATATAACAGAAATAGTGATAAAATGACGCAGTTTTGTAAATCACACTCGTGCAGATGGGAGACAGGGCTTTGTTTAAAAAAGAACTGGTCCATATATTCATCAAATAAGAGGTTACTTAGTGAAACCAAATCTCCTTCATCATCCATCACCTCTTTACAAGAAGGTAGTGGTGATCAAAGGTACAAAAATCAGAATTAGCTACATGAGATAACCTTGCAAGAGTTAGCAACCTGGTTAAGTTCTCTGTACATAAATTTAACTGAAACTTGCTGATTTCTGCCTATAATAGATCGGGCCTCCTAAATAATGTCCTTATAGGGATGGGAATCAACCTGGTCCCTGGCGATCACATTTATCGCTTCCATAGAATCACTAAATGCTTCAATTTGCCTCAGACCCCTATGCCAGCACAGTTTCAGCCCTTCTATCACCCTAAAGCCTCACCGCAATGGCTGGAGGATATTTACCTAACTTACAACAAAAGCCTAGAATCCAGCTGGCATCACTGTTACAGATTACACCACCACAAGCACCTTCACCATCACCAATGACAGACCCATCAAATATCCAATCTTACCATACCCTGTATTGGAGGATTCAAATTGCACGCACTCCTACACATTAATTTTCATCGTTCCAAAATGGCTACTTTGGAGAAACTCACTCAAGTTTGATGACATAGTAGAATTTGGCACTATCAAATTTAAACAAACAAGATTCTCAAAAGCTGAAGGACATAACAAAGAGACATACCCCTCCATATTTGGTGTGGAAAGGCCCATGAGAAGCCACAACGTAGGGTTGAAAATAACTTGGCACAGACAAGTTGGAATGGGAGATATGCCATATTGCTGGAAGTAGGCAGGGATGGAAAGAGAAAAAACAACGATAACCCAACTATAATGATATTGCGAGAGCTTCCAGCCTCACTATACCGTAGATTTGACAATCCTAATGCTGTAAGCATTGCCCACATAAAGCAGAGGGAGACCAGCAACCATGACTTCTGGATTGAAGCAAAAAATCCTCCAACTTTACCTGTTTTTAAATAAACAATAACATGACAATAATTAAAATATATTGCAAGTAAAAACTTTCTTCAGAGAGAACAGATAAGAAAATCCAAAATAAAAAATTTAGACAAGGCAGATTTTAGGAAGCAATCTCACAGCATCTCCTAGTT